GGTGCAGCCGCCACGCTTATCCTCAACCAGAATGGGGGCCAGGGGGAAGAGGCGCAGCCGCCACGCTTATCCTCAACCAGAATACACGCTTATCCGGTGCCAGGCGAAGAGGTGCAGCCGCCACGCTTATCCTCAACCAGATAGAGGCGCAGCCGCCACGCTTATCCTCTCAACCTGAAGAAGACGGAGGCGCATGCAGAAGTGGTTGCTTATCCTCAACCAATATGGTCTCCCAGGTGCTTATACTCAACCTGAAAAAAGACGAAGGCAAGGGACAAGGCCGGAGGGCTCGCATGGAGAGGTGGTGCGCTTATCCTCAACCAATATGGGGCACCAGGTGCTTATCTTCAACCTGAAGAAAGACAGAGACGGGACGAGGCCGGAGGGCTCGCATGCAGAAGTGGCTCGCTTATCCTCAACCAATATGGGGTACCAGGTGCCTGCTCATGCTCTAATGACACTCCCCCATTAAGTCTATTCTGCAACCGAGTGCACACATGTGTGCAAGTGCTCGCTATGCATGACAAGCCGAGCTAGTTCCGCTCACGTGGGCTCAATGTGAAGAGTCGTAGTCCTGCTCTGTGTCCGAGCTTCGGCCTATAGGTAGCCGCTTACGGCTGGAATCTCAGTCGTCACAACAGCGAGTGCCTAAGATCATGCCCACGGCCCTTGTTTCTGAGATCGACCGGCGCAACAGAGATGTCCCAGAACATGGGCGAAGGTTCCAGAAGCTCAGACCACTCGATTCGGGGCTCCGAACTGGAGGACTGCGAGGACCCTTTCGACTGTTGGGACTGGGTCGACGCAGAAATGCAGCACGACGCCGAGGAAGATGCACGTGGAGGAACAAGATGGAACAAAGAGATGGAGATGCAGAGGGAGTTCAGCGAGCGTCTTGCTGACCTGACGGTGAGGTACCTGAACATGCAGGGTGCCGAGATCCATTCCTCGAAGCCTTATCGCCTGCTCTGCCAACTCGAACCGCCCGGATCTTTCCGGGAAGCTTGGCTCGCCCAGCTGCACGAGGGCAACAACCCCGATCGCAGCCTATCCCTGCAAGAACTACGTGTCAAATTTCAGAAGACCATGAAGCCCATCCCGCCGGAAACGCTGCAGCATCGCAGCACCAGAGAGGTCTTGCTGTTGGACTTGGACAGCAGTCCTGCAGGACCCATTCCCATCGAAGGCACGCAACTGGTTTTGGACGGAGACGTGATCAGCGACGCTTGGAGCTGGCGCGAACTCCTGGACCGCAGCTTCCACGACGAGGTCGTGGACGTGCAAGTTGTCTACATGTCAAAGCAAGCCACAGACCGCTAGAGCTCCAAACGCGAGCAGCAACAAACGCAAAAAGGAGCGAGCGCTGCAGCAAGGGATACGGCAGTCTGGACACGGCCGGTTTGAGCTGTCGTTGCATCTCAGTCCTGCATCGGTCAATGACATGGCTTGTAGACTCAATAGACGGTGATCCAGTCTGGAATCACCTGTTCCTGAAAAGATTTTGTGCTGTTCTTCGTTTGATTAATTTGCTCGCTGATGGAACATGCTTGAGATTTGATCGCAGCCGTGCGGATACAGCCTTAGCTGAGCTTAGGAACCGCCTTATCGCAATTCGTTAGGATGGCGCCTTGCCCACGGTGTGGCTGGCCAATGCAAGGCCGAGGAAAAGGATGGTGCAGCAATCGACAGTGCCGCGAAGCTCAGAAAGAGGAGAACCTCCGCCGGAAGAGCGAGGAGAAGAGTGCTCAACAGCAGAAACGTGCTGCGCAAGGAGCGGGCAGCCGTGGACCTGTGCCTGTTGCAAACAGCACTCGGGCCCAGAGGCAACAACTTCAAGCTGACCGCGCAGAAGAAGGACTTGGCAGCCGCGGGCCTTTGCCCACGGAGAAAAGCAGACAGGCGCAGGGACAACAACTTCAAGCTCAACGTGCAGAAGAAGGACTTGGCAGCCGCGGGCCTGTACCCACGGAGGACCGCAGGCGGGCGCAGGGACAACAACTTCAAGCTCAACGCGCAGAAGAAGGACTTGGCAGCCGCGGGCCTGTACCCACGGAGGACAGCAGGCGGGCGCAGGGACGACAACTTCAAGCTCAACGCGCAGAAGAAGGACTTGGCAGCCGTGGTCCTTTGCCGATCGCCACAGAGGCCCAACAGCGGGGCTACCCGTTCCCGGATGAAGATGTGCTGACCTCGGAGCAAGCGCAAGCCCACTACTTGGCTTTTACGCGAAGCTGGAGTCGATTCGGATTGTCCAGGGTGTGTGAAGCATGTCACACTCTCACAACCGCGAAGCATTGCAGGCCGGCGAAGCAAACCGGCAACATGCTCTGCAGGAACTGTCGGGAGAATGTCACCAAGATCTTCTTGCCCACTTCACCACCCATCCCAGAAGCGCTCCAGAGCCTGCAGCCGATCGAGCATCACCTGCTCGCCATGGCGCGAATCTCTCAAGTCCTGCTTGACAAGCTTCCTTCCGGCGGGCCAAGTGCGCAGTGGGGCCGCATGTATGCAATGCTGGTCGACGAGCCTTTCATTTGCGACGTGCTGGATGGCGCAACGCTCGAAGAAGATGGCACGGTCCTAGTGGAGGGAGTCCAAGGCATGACCGCTTCGCCGGCCCGCCTCGACCACCTGTACCAAGCCTTGCGGCAGCTGAAATCCCAGCACCGCCTCTACCAGGCGAGCCCGGCTGTGGACAAAGCCCTGGACGATATGGCTGCAATTCTCCATGGCAAAGCACCCACCGCCAAGGACGATGCTGCAGCAGCAGCGCCTGTGTCACCGGCCGAAAGAGAATCGGAAGAGCTCGAAGTGACATACATGCTTCCCAAAGAGCTAAAGGCTCCCCGAGCCGACACACACGAGCTACGAAAGGCCAGGGACGTATCAGCGATGTGCGACGACATGGACGTGAAGCTCTTTCCGCACCTGTTTCCCACCGGCCAGGGCGGGTGGCAGGACCAGTACGGCAGCTTCTCTCAATATGCGCGAAAGCGTCTCCTGAATCTCGACCCACGCTTCGAGGCGTCCGCCGGCTACATCATGTGGCTGCTGGAGATGCACATCAAGAAGCGCCTCTCGGGCAACGTGAATGTCAGGATAGGCCAGGAAGGCCCCAGCGAGAAGACCAAGTACAAGGACGGGAAAGGACGAGTGTTCGCGGCTCTCCGGGACATCCCTGGAACCAGCTCGTACGTCTTCGCAAAGAAGGGCGTCGCGGTCAACATGTACGAGCAGCTCGGAGCGCCCAAATTCTTCATGACCCTGTCGTGCCATGCCCGACAGCCCGACATCCTGATCGCCGTCATCATGGCACGGCTGCTCCGGCTGCGTCCTGCGAAACCGCCACAAGAGATCGAGAGAGAAGCCGCTCAGATCCTGCAGTGCTACCAAGCCGACGAGAAGTTCACCTGGGACGGTCTGTCCCCGATTGTGTGATTTTCGTTTCGATCTGCAGTTGCAATAGTTTCAAATTTTCGCTAAACGTGTCCAACCAAATCCAGCCCAAGCCAGCCACAGCAGCCCAGCCCAGCAGCCGACCCGCCCAGCCCATCCAGCCCCCCAGCCCAGCCCTAGCCCCCACCAGCCAGCTCGGCCCAAAATGAAAACTTCAAGTCAAAAAACAAAACCCGCCCAAAACCTTCGCTCAAAACTTTCGTCTAAAACTTCGGACCCAAACCCTATACAATTTCAACCCCCTAGCCCTTTCAAGTCAAAAAACAAAACCCTCCCAAAACTTTCGCTCAAAACTTTCGCCCAAAACTTTCGGTCAAAACCGGAATGCGCGAAATCACAAATCAAAAACCAAAACTTTCGCCCAAAACGTTTCGCTCAAAACTTTCGGTCGAAACCCCGGACCCAACCCCGGCTGGATTTCACCTGCGAGCCGCATGACGCAGGCAAGCTGAACCAAATCCCGCCACCCTCTTTGCCTTCAGATTTTAGACCCAACCGTCTCAGCCCCTACGCACCAGGGCCCAGCCCAGCAGCCCAGCAGCCCACAACCCCGCAACAGCAGCACCCAGCCCAGCCCAGAGCCCCCTTCCCCAGTCCCAGCCCGGTCAATCAAGGGCTCAGCCAGCCAATAATGCCCAAGCCCACTCGGGACCTGAACCCCCGCCACCCTCCTTGCCTTCAGATTTTAGACCCACCCGCCTCAGCCCCTACGCACCAGGGCCCAGCCCACCAGCCCGGTCAATGTCCAGCCCAGCCCAGCCACTTCGCCAGCCGAATGCCCAAGCCCTAGCCGGTCCAGCCCAGCCCAGCCCAGCCACTTCCCAAAGTCAAAATGACAAAGCAAAAACAAAAACCCGCTCAAAACTCGGTAAAAACTTTGTCAAAACTCGGTCAAAACTCGGGACCTGAACCCTATACAATTTCTATAAACCCCTAAACCCTAATCCCCCCTCTCCTGCCCCCACACCCCCTTGCACAACCCTTATTCTCAACCTAAATGGGGGGTTGGAAACCCCAGCGGGTTGGGTTCCCTGACCCCCCCACCCCCTTGCCCCCCTTCCACCCCCCTCTCCTGCCCCACACCCCCTTGGGGCGGGTAGAGGGGGGGAGGCACACCCAGAAACCCAGTGAGGGGTGGGTTCAAGGCCTTCTTGGAAGGTCAATGGACCCAGGATGCACAGCCACCACCCGTGTTGCCAACCCCTGCCTGTGAACCAGCAGCTGAGGCAGCTGAGGCAGCTGAGGACTCGTTGGAGGGCACACAGAGAGTTCGCAGGTTCAGGCTGGCAACTCACCAACCCCACCCCACTCCCGCCCGCCCCCTCCACCCACCCCCCACCCTCCTACCCGCCACCCCCCTACCTTCCCCCCTTCAACCTGTCAGGCGCTCATCCTCAAGCAGAATGCGGGCGCCACGAAAGAGAGGCGCAGCCGCCACGCTTATCCTCAACCAGAAGAGGGGCCAGGGGGTACAGCCGCCACGCTTATCCGGTGCCAGGCAAAGAGGTGCAGCCGCCACGCTTATCCTCAACCAGAATGGGGGCCAGGGGGAAGAGGCGCAGCCGCCACGCTTATCCAGAATAGGGGCCAGGGGGTACATCAAGAGGTGCAGCCGCCACGCTTATCCTCAACCAGAATGGGGGCCAGGGGGAAGAGGCGCAGCCGCCACGCTTATCCTCAACCAGAATATAGGGGCCAGGGGGTACAGCCGCCACGCTTATCCGGTGCCAGGCGAAGAGGTGCAGCCGCCACGCTTATCCTCAACTAGAATGGGGGCCAGGGGGAAGAGGTGCAGGAGCCACGCTTATCCTCAACCAGAATGGGGGCCAGGGGGCTTATCCTCAACCAGAAAAGGGGCCAGGGGGTACAGCCGCCACGCTTATCCGGTGCCAGGCGAAGAGGTGCAGCCGCCACGTTTATCCTCAACCAGAATGGGGGCCAGGGGGAAGAGGCGCAGCCGCCACGCTTATCCAGAATAGGGGCTAGGGGGTACAGCCGCCACGCTTATCCGGCGCCAGGTGAAGAGGTGCAGCCGCCACGCTTATCCTCAACCAGAATGGGGGCCAGGGGGGAAGAGGCGCAGCCGCCACGCTTATCCTCAACCAGAATAGGGGCCAGGGGGTACAGCCGCCACGCTTATCCGGTGCCAGGCGAAGCTTATCCTCGATCAACCAGAATGGGGGCCAGGGGGAGGCGCAGCCGCCACGCTTATCCTCAACCAGAATAGGGGCCAGGGGGTACAGCCGCCACGCTTATCCGGTGCCAGGCGAAGAGGTGCAGCCATCACGCTTATCCTCAACCAGAATGGGGCCCAAGGGGAAGAGGCGCAGCCGCCACGCTTATCCTCAACCAGAAGAGGGGCCAGAGGGTACAGCCGCCACGCTTATCCGGTGCCAGGCAAAGAGGTGCAGCCGCCACGCTTATCCTCAACCAGAATAGGGGCCAGGGGGAAGAGGCGCAGCCGCCACGCTTATGCTGAAACAGAATAGGGGTCAGGGGGTACAGCCGCCACGCTTATCCGGTGCCAGGCGAAGAGGTGCAGCCGCCACGCTTATCCTCAACCAGAATGGGGGACAGGGGGAAGAGGCGCAGCCGCCACGCTTATCCTCAACCAGAATAGGGGCCAGGGGGTACAGCCGCCACGCTTATCCGGTGCCAGGCGAAGAGGTGCAGCCGCCACGCTTATCCTCAACCAGAATGGGGGCCAGGGGGAAGAGCCGCAGCCGCCACGCTTATCCTCAACCAGAATAGGGGCCAGGGGGTACAGCCGCCACGCTTATCCGGTGCCAGGCGAAGAGGTGCAGCCGCCACGCTTATCCTCAACCAGAATGGGGGCCAGGGGGAATCGAGCGCGTATCCTCAACCATCATGGCGTCCCAGGTGTGTTATCCTCAAGCAATATGGGGTCCACGGTGCGTGGTCTCAACCTGAAGAAGACGGAGGCGGGGACAAGGCCGGAGCGCTTATCCTCAACCAATATGGGGTCCCAGGTGCGTGGTTTCAACCTGAAGAAGATGGAGGCGGGGACAAGACCGGAGCGTTTATCCTCGAGGTCAGGAGGTGCAGCCGCCACGCTTGTCGCTGAATAGGGTTCGGAAGTGCAGCCGCCACGCTTATCCGGTGCCAGGCGAAGAGGTGCAGCCGCCACGCTTATCCTCAACCAGAATGGGGGCCAGGGGGAAGAGGCGCAGCCGCCACGCTTATCCTCAACCAGAATAGGGGCCAGGGAGAAGAGGCGGAGCCGCCACGCTTATCCTCAACCAGAATCGGGGCCAGGGGGAAGAGGCGCAGCCGCCACGCTTATCCTCAACCAGAATAGGGGCCAGGGGGTACAGCCGCCACGCTTATCCGGTGCCAGGCGAAGAGGTGCAGCCGCCACGCTTATCCTCAACCAGAATGGGGGCCAGGGGGAAGAGGCGCAGCCGCCACGCTTATCCTCAACCAGAATAGGGGCCAGGGGGTACAGCCGCCACGCTTATCCGGTGCCAGGCGAAGAGGTGCAGCCGCCACGCTTACCCTCAACCAGAATGGGGGCCAGGGGAAGAGGTGCAGCCGCCACGCTTATCCTCAACCAGAATAGGGGCCAGGGGGTACAGCCGCCACGCTTATCTGGTGCCAGGCGAAGAGGTGCAGCCGCCACGCTTATCCTCAACCAGAATGGGGGCCAGGGGGAAGAGGCGCAGCCGCCACGCTTATCCTCAACCAGAATAAAGGGGCCAGGGGGTACAGCCGCCACGCTTATCCTCAACCAGAATGGGGGCCAGGGGGAAGAGGCGCAGCCACCACGCTTATCCTCAACCAGAATAGGGGCCAGGGGGTACAGCCGCCACGCTTATCCGGTGCCAGGCGAAGAGGTGCAGCCGCCACGCTTATCCTCAACCAGAATGGGGGCCAGGGGGAAGAGGCGCAGCCGCTACGCTTATCCTCAACCAGAATAGGGGTCAGGGGGTACAGCCGCCACGCTTATCCGGTGCCAGGCGAAGAGGTGCAGCCGCCACGCTTATCCTCAACCACGCAGCCGCCACGCTTATCCTCAACCAGAATAGGGGCCATGAGGTACAGCCGCCACGCTTATCCGGTGCCAGGCGAAGAGGTGCAGCCGCCACGCTTATCCTCAACCAGAATGGGGGGCCAGGGGGAAGAGGCGCAGCCGCCACGCTTATCCTCAACTAGAATAGGGGACAGGGGGTACAGCCGCCACGCTTATCCGGTGCCAGGCGAAGAGGTGCAGCAGCCACGCTTATCCTCAACCAGAATGGGGGCCAGGGGGAAGAGGCGCAGCCGCCACGCTTATCCTCAACCAGAATAGGGGCCAGGGAGTACAGCCGCCACGCTTATCCGGTGCCAGGTGAGGAGCAGCCGCCACGCTTATCCTCAACCAGAATAGGGGCCAGGGGGTACAGCCGCCACGCTTATCCGGCGCCAGGTGAAGAGGTGCAGCCGCCACGCTTATCCTCAACCAGAATGGGGGCCAGGGGGAAGAGGCGCAGCCGCCACGCTTATCCTCAACCAGAATAAAGGGGTCAGGGGGTACAGCCGCCACGCTTATCCTCAACCAGAATGGGGGCCAGGGGGAAGAGGCGCAGCCACCACGCTTATCCTCAACCAGAATAGGGGCCAGGGGGTACAGCCGCCACGCTTATCCGGTGCCAGGCGAAGAGGTGCAGCCGCCACGCTTATCCTCAACCAGAATGGGGGCTAAGGGGAAGAGGCGCAGCCGCTACGCTTATCCTCAACCACAATAGGGGCCAGGGGGTACAGCCGCCACGCTTATCCGGTGCCAGGCGAAGAGGTGCAGCCGCCACGCTTATCCTCAACCACGCAGCCGCCACGCTTATCCTCAACCAGAATAGGGGCCAGGGGGTACAGCCGCCACGCTTATCCGGTGCCAGGCGAAGTGCAGCCGCCACGCTTATCCTCGACCAGAATGGCCACGCTTATCCTCAACCAGAATAGGGGCCAGGGGGTACAGCCGCCACGCTTATCCAGGGGGTACAGCCGCCACGCTTATCCGGTGCCAGGCGAAGAGGTGCAGCCGCCACGCTTATCCTCAACCAGAATGGGGGCCAGGGGGAAGAGGCGCAGCCGCCGCGCTTATCCTCAACCAGAGGTGCGTGGTCTCCACTCCAAGAAGATCGGCTTATCCTCAACTAATTTGGGGTCCTAGGTGCATGGTCTCAACTCGAAAAGGATGGAGGCGGGGACCAGGCCGCAGTGCTTATCCTCAACTAATATGTCCCAGGTGCGTGGTCTTAACTCGAAAAGGATGGAGGCGGGGACCAGGCCGGGGCGAGCATCCTCAACCAATATGGGGTCCCAGGTGCCTGGTCTCCACTCCAAGAAGACCGGGGCGGGGACGAGGCCGGAGCGCTTAACCTCAACCAATATGGGGTCCCAGGTGTGTGGTCTCCACTCGAAGAGGACGGAGGCCGGGACAAGGTCGGAGCACTTATCCTCAACTAAGGGGGGTCCCAGGTCCGTGGTGTCAACTCGAAAAGGATGGAGGCGGGGACAAGGCCGGAGTGACCAAGGCGGGGACGAGGTCGGAGCGCTTATCCGATCTTATCCTCAACCAATGTGGGGTCCCAGGTGCGTTATCCTCAATTAATATGGGGTTGCCGGTGGAGCGCTTCTTATCCTCAACCAATATTGGGTCCCAGGTGCGCGGTGTCAACCTGAAGAAGATGGAGGCGGGGACAAGGCCGGAGCGCTTATCCTCAACCAATATGGGGTCCCAGGTGCGTGGTCTCAATCTGAAGAAGACGGAGGCGGGGACAAGGCCGGAGCGCTTATCCTCAACCATCATGGCGTCCCAGGTGTGTTATCCTCAAGCAATATGGGGTCCACGGTGCGTGGTTTCAACTTGAAGAAGACGGAGGCGGGGACAAGCCCGGAGCGCCACGCTTATTCTCAACCTGAATGGGCGCAGCCGCCACGCTTATCCTCAACCTGAATAGGGTTCGGAAGTGCAGCCGCTACGCTTATCGTGCAGCCGCCACGCTTATCCTCAACCTGAATGGGGTCCGGAGGTGCAGCCGCCACTCTTGTCGTGCAGCCGCCACGCTTATTCTCAACCTGAATGGGGGCCCGAAGGCGCAGCCGCCACGCTTATCCTCAACCTGAATGGGGTCCAGAGGTGCAGCCGCCACGCTTATCCTGCAGCCGCCACGCTTATCCTCAACCTGAATGGGGTCCGGAGGTGCAGCCGCCACATTTATCGTGCAGCCGCTACGCTTATCTTCAACCTGACTAGTCCGGAGGCGCAGCCGCCACGCTTATCCTCAACTTGAATGGGGTCCGGAGGTGCAGCCGCCACGCTTGTCGTGCAGCCGCCACGCTTATTCTCAACCTGAATGGGCGCAGCCGCCACGCTTATCCTCAACCTGAATAGAGTTCGGAAGTGCAGCCGCCACGCTTATCGTGCAGCCGCCACGCTTATCCTCAACCTGAATGGGGTCCGGAGGTGTAGCCGCCACTCTTGTCGTGCAGCCGCCACGCTTATTCTCAACCTGAATGGGGGCCCGAAGGCGCAGCCGCCACGCTTATCCTCAACCTGAATGGGGTCCGGAGGTGCAGCCGCCACGCTTATTATTCTCAACCTGAATGGGGGTCTAGAGGCGCAGCCGCCACGGTGCAGCTGCCACGCTTTTCGTGCAGCCACCACGCTTACCGGAGGTGCAGCCGCCAACTTATCCTCAACCAATACGGGGTGCCAGGCGCGTAGACTCAACCCGAAGAAGACGGAGGCGGAGACGAGGTCGGAGCGCTTGTCCTCAACTAATATGGGGTTTCAGGTGCATGGTCTAAACCCGAAGAAGACGGAGGCGCGGACGAGGCCGGAGCGCTGGTCCTCAACCAATGTCCTCAACCAATATGGGCTTTCAGGTGCATGGTTTCAACCTGAGAAGAAGACGAAGGAAGGGACAAGGCCGGAGAGCTTATCCTCAACCAAGATGGGGTCCTAAGTGCGTGGTCCCAGGTGCGTGGTCTCACCCCGAAGAAGACGGAGGCGGGAACGAGGCCCGAGGGGTCCGCAGGCAGAACGTCCCAGGTGCGTGGTCACGCCGAAGAAGGGTCCCAACCCGAAGGAGACGGAGGCAAGGACGAGGGCAGAGCGCTTATCCTCAACGTTCCAGGTGCGTGGTCTCAACCCGAAGAATGCGAAGGCGGGGACCAGGCCGGAGCGCTTATCCTCAACCAAGATGGGGTTCCAGGTGCGTGGTCTCACAGCCCGAAGAAGACGGAGGCGGGGACGAGGCCGGAGCGTTTATCCTCAACCACGATGGGGTTCCAGGTGCGAGGTCTCACAGCCCGAAGAAGACGGAGGCGCGGACGAGGCCGGGGCGCTTATCCTCAACCAAGATGGGGTTCCAGGTACGTGGTCTCACAGCCCGAAGAAGACGGAGGCGGGGACGAGGCCGGAGCGTTTATCCTCAACCAAGATGGGGTTCCAGGTGCGTGGTCTCACAGCCCGAAGAAGACGGAGGCGCGGACGAGGCCGGGACTGCGTGGTCTCACAGCCCGAAGAAGACGGAGGCGCGGACGAGGCCGGGGCGTTTATCCTCAACCAAGATGGGGTCGCAGGTGCCTGGTCTCACACCCCGAAGAAGACGGAGGCGCGAACGAGGCCGGAGCGTTTATTCTCAACCAAGATGGGGTTCCAGGTGCGTGGTCTCACAGCCCGAAGAAGACGGGGACGAGGCCGGAGCACTTATCCTCAACCAAGATGGGGTTCCAGGTGCGTGGTCTCACAGCCCGAAGAAGACGGAGGCGGGGACGAGGCCGGAGCACTTATCCTCATCCAACATGGGGTCCCAGGTGCGCGGTCTCAGCCCGAAGAAGACGGAGGCGGGGACGAGGCCGGAGCGATTATCCTCAACCAAGATGGGGTCCCAGGTGCGCGGTCTCAGCCCGAAGAAGACGGAGGCGAGGATGAGGCCGGAACGCTTATCCTCAACCAAGATGGAAGTGATCCGCTTATCCCCAACCAATATATATGGGGTCTCAGTTGCTCAGTCTCAAGCTGAACGAAGCTGGAGGCGGGGACGGGAGGGCTCGCACGAACAAGTGATTTGTTTATCCTCAACCAATATGCGGTCTCAGGTGTTCATTCTCAAGCTGAACGAAGCTGGAGGCCGCCACGCTTATCCTCAAGTAGAAGGGGGGCGGGGGCGGCCATCCCCACCGCCCTTGTTCCCGAGGTCGGCATGTCTGAGGACGTGGGCGATGAAGGCCCAATTCCTGCACATACCGTGTTGAGCTGTGGCAGAAGGCCAAAACGGGCATGCATGTCCAGCCGTTCTTGGATTCAGAGTCGTTGCCAGCAGGTAGCCTCGTGAAAGTGCACAGCGCAGCATCCTGTGGCAGCACATCCTTCGACGCCGCCACCATAGCATACTAAGCCTCAAACTGCTATCTAGCATCAACAGATATCACTGGCCTGTGGCCCGGTGCGAGCCTCAGATATGGAAGCCTCCGCCAGTGTCGTCGCAGGTGGTCTTTGATAGCGTTGCAGCGGCCCGTGCTTCTCAGGTCAATTGGCACGACAATGATGTCCGACGACATGAACGAAGACTTCCAGAGCACAGACCATTCGATTCGCGACTCCGACCAGGTGGACCGTGAGGACGGGTTCGATGACTGGGACTGGGTCGAACAGGAGATGCAGCGTGAAGCCGAGGAAGGTGCACGTGAGAGAGCAGCATTGGACAAAGAAATGGACATCCAGAATGCATACAACAAACGTCTGGCGAACATGACGGTGAAGTACATGAATATGAAGGGTGATGAGGTTCACGCCTCAAGGCCCTACCCGTGCTGCCAGCTTGAATGCGGCTCGTTCCGTGAAGCTTGGCTGACCACTTTACACGACGGAAACAACCCGGATCGATTTCTCTCCCTGTGCCAGCTACGTGAAAGACGGCAGAAGGCCAAAAAGCCTTTGCCTGCAGAAATACTACAGCATCGCAGCCCCAGAGAAGTCCTGCTTCACGACCTGGACAGCAGTCGCATTGGACCGATCTGCCTGGATGCCACAAAACTGGCGTTGGGCGGGGATGTGATCACGGATGCCTGGAGTTGGGATGAGCTCTTGGATCGCAGCTTGAGCGATGGCACCGTGCACGTGCACGTGGTCTTCAATTCCGAGCAGTCCAACGGCCGACAGTCCTAGAGCTCCAAATCTGAGCTGCACGGAGAGAGAATACGAAATGTGCCCCAGGACTGCAGCAAAATGAAAGGGTCAGAGCCACCGGAACATGGTCTTCTTGAGCTTCTGCATGTTCTGCAAGGTTGCTGCAGCCAGGTGAAAGGGTCAGAGCTGCCCGAACATTACTTTCTTGAGCATGTTGTGCAAATTTGAACTCCTGTCTTGCGCGTGCTGAGGCTTGGGCAACCCCGCAGCTTTTCGGCAGTCAGCCACAGTTGAACTAAACCAATTCGGTAGACTCGTCTTCGTCATGGCTCCCTGCCAGCGATGCGGCTTTGGCATCAGAAGCGGCAGAGGCAGCGGATGGTGCAGCAATGTCGAGTGCCGAGAAGCAGAGAGAGCGGAGAAGAAAGCTCGCATTGAGCAAGAACGGGCTGCAAAAGGAGCAGGCAGGCGCGGGCCCTTGCCCAACGAGAACAGCAAGGAAGCACAGCGGCGACAGCTGATGGAGGCAAGAGCACACGCAACGGAGGAAGGAGCCGGCGGCCGAGGTCCTTTGCCCGACGAGAACAGCAACAAAGCAGAACGGCGACAGCTGCATGAGGCAAGAGCACACGCAACGGAGGAAGGAGCCGGCGGCCGAGGTCCTTTGCCCGACGAGAACAGCAAAGAAGCACAGCGGCGACAGCTGATGGAGGCAAGAGCACACACAACGGAGGAAGGAGCCGGCGGCCGAGGTCCTTTGCCCATCGCCTCGGAGATTCAGCAGCAAGGTTACCCTTTCCCAAACGAAGACACTTTAACCCCGGAGCAAGCACAGGCACAGTACTTGGCTTTTGCACGGAGCTGGAGTAGATTCGGCCTTTCCCGTGTGTGCGAGAAGTGCCAGACCTTGACACCAGCGAGGCATTGCAAAAGAGGCAAAGGCACCGAGCAGCTACTGTGCAGGAACTGCCGCGAGAATCGCCCAAAGGTGGTCTTGCCAACTCCGGCGCCCATCCCAGAAGCATTGCAACGACTGCGACCCATCGAGCAACATCTCCTCGCCATGGCCCGCATCTCGCAGGTCCTGCTGGACAAGCTCCCATCAGGGGGCCCCAGCGCACAATGGGGCCGCATGTACGCCGTTCTCATGCAAGAACCCTTCATCTGCGGAGTCCTCGAGGGCGCAAGCTTGGAGGAAGACGGGACAGTGTTGGTCGAGGGCGTCGACGGCGTCACCGCATCTCCAGCACGTTTGGAGTTTCTCCACGCGGCCTTGCAAGATTTGAGACGTCATCACCGCCTCTATCAACAGTGCCCGGCCGTCGAGACAGCCTTGGCACGAATGGCTGCCATCCTGGCCAACAAAGCTCCCGCTGCCTCAGCTACAAAGCCAACAGACCCACCTCCAGCCGCACAAGCAGAAGAAGAAGAAGTTGAAGTGACCTACCTTTTACCGAAACAGTTCCAGGCTCCGAAGGCCGACGTCCACGACTTGCGAAAGGCCCGAGGATCTGCAGACCTCAGCGACGACTTGGATGCGAAGTTCTTCCCGCACCTGTTTCCCTCCGGCTTTGGAGGCTGGCAGAACGAGTACGGTGGCTTCGCCCAATATGCACGGAGGCGTCTGCTGAGCGCGGATGGCCGCTTTGAAGGCTCCACGGGCTACATCATGTGGCTCCTAGAGATGAAGACCAAGAAGCGCCTCTCCGGAAATATCAACGTCCGCATCAGCAACCAACGGACACCCCGCTGCAAGAGTG